AAAAAAAAAAAAAAAAAAGCAGCCACCAGGAAGAAACTAGAGAAGATTCACTCATTGTTGCCACAAAGACACCTCTCCCCTTCCCACTCCCTCTCCATGCTCATTCCTCCAACAGTGCTACAAAGACGTGCAGTCTGCGCCGGGAGTTGCTGAGCCCAAGCCGTGGGCTCCGCAACTCCGCGGGGGCCGTGCCAGGAGACCCGGGGCTCGGAGCCCTCCGACAGTAGGTGTGGTGAGTCCAAGACCGTCCGAAAATTATTTTTTTTCCTAGAAACTATCTCCAAATATAGTAACAGGGAAGGGGCATTCCTAGAAAGTCGGGAGACGTCAGAAAGGGAAGATTTGTGAAATTCAGCTTCACTTCCTGCAGAGGGCTCCTAGCACAGGAAAAAAAAAAAAAAAATCAAGTGAGCAATAAAGTGCTTTTCATGCTTCTCTGATCAGATAATGGTTAAAAAAAGAAGAATGGTAAAACACTTAACTCACATTTCTCCGATACGATCTAGGAGTTTCATCTGGGAAGAAAGCTAATCAGTAACCCCCTCTCCTCATTTTCTACTAATGTTTATAGATGCCTATCTCCTGTATTTACTTTCCCCCATGTCCTCATATCAGACCTACACACACAACAAATAACAGGAATACGCATATGAGTGAAAAATGGGCCCAACAATAACCCTCCCATGGATCGCAGGAACACTAATTAACGTTCGTGTGTTATTTTAAACAGGCTTTGCGGGCTGCATCTTCCATGCGCCACCGATGTGAATAATTCATGTTATTATTGTAGATGTGTGCAATATCATTACTTGCGTGGACGGGGATTTGTAGGTTGGTTTTTATTTAAGGGCCCCATTACTGAGAACTGCTGAACACTCTCAGTCCCCATCGACTTGATGGTATCTTAGGCTGTTAATTAATTCTGCTCAGCAATTCACAGGATCAGGCCCCGACTGACAAATGGAAATGGGGACTTGCAGCAGACCCGCACACTGTCACGAGCTGCAGTTACTCCTCACGTGTCTCCTAAATCTATTTGCTTTGTGCTTGCGTCTAACACCCTATCATTCTTTAGTCATATCTTTTCTTAAAAAAAACCACTCTGATACATTTCATAGGAAGTAGAAATGAGTGTTTGCATTAAGATTAAGATGTTCAATACGCTATTAATTACATAAAAACACCAGAACATTTGTAATAAAGCATTATTTATTCAGGAATAGGAAAGATTGCTATAAAAAACACAATAGCCAGCTTTTGGGGAAAGACAATAGATTTCAATGTGTTCAACTCTTGCAGGTTAATTGAATTTCCCTAATGAAATTCCCCTCAGCCACACGAAATCCTTGGGTTTGTTCTTTGAATTTCATTATGACTTGCAGAGTCTTCTCTGCCCCCAAATCAAATGCAATAAAAAGCACTGAAGTCTGGCTTCACTTCAGTGTTTTATAAATGCTCACATTTAATCAAAACTTAGTTACAGACACCTTCTTTGTCTGCAGTTTCAAAGGGGAATTAGCAGAATCCACCTGACAATCCTAAGTGTGCTTTGATTCCTAAGTGTGTTTTAACTATTACCGCAGTGCTCAATAAACAATTGCTTCAAAATACAGACCCAGCTTTCAGGGAGGTGCACCCACAGTGCTTCGTTAGCAATAATGCCTGGTTAGAAGTAGATTTAAGTAATCTCTTGGAATTCAAACCAGCTCTAGTTAATTGCAAAAAGGCCTTTTTAATCTTGCTCGTTTATTTATGGCACACGGCTCTACTCTGCCTGTCACTCTCATTTCCTGAGTGAAAAAGTGAATGGCAGCTTCAAGTTCAGGATCTTCTGATCATTAAAAGAAATGGATGTGCTGTCCTCTGTTGGTCATACTGGTTGTCACATGTAAAATTCAATTAACTCAAAAAGGCAGCAAGAGGCTCTGTTAAAACGACAAAACCGACTAAATTAAATCTGCTCCACCTTCCACTTTCACCAGTAAGCCTGTACATTGTGAGGGAGTTCTAAATCATGTCTATAAAATGATGCAAGGTTGGAGACTAGGAGCTGGATTAAGGGGCGGACTCATTTCACATGACTCCCTACTACAGATTTGGCCCTGGCATTCAGCCCCATCAGACTCCAGGTGCTGTTTCAGCCCCTTGCTGTGGGCCACCCGCCCTGCTGTGCCCGGCACGCTGGGTGACACCGGGTGCTCCAGCCTCCCTCCGGCTCCAGGGCTGGTCCCCACTGGGGCCGGGGTGGCAGGGGGGCTGCAGTGCTGCCAAGCACCTGGGGAGAGAGGAAGTTTCGAGCTTAAATTTCACATCACACGGTTCAGTCTGTGGACGGGGCCACGTGTGCCAGTTTGGATAGTTTGCGCTCACGTGTCACGTCTCGCATCGTGTGGTGTGATGGCAGCTATGCAGCTTCTTGGAGCGCTTGAACTATGGCAGCTCAGGCTTTGCTGGGTACGAGTAGTGCAAATTCCCACTTTGCTGCTTGTGGTGTCCTTCTGTCAGTGGTGATGTTTAGAAACGCTCTGCTCTGCTCAGCGTTGGTAAGCATCAGAGGTGTGTCCACCTCGGGTCCTCATTTCAAGAGAACATGCAGCAGCTGGAGAGGATCTGGGGGACTGTAGCAAGGATGATCGGAGGTGTGATTAGAGGCGTAGAAACCCTGACCTAGAAGGAGAGATTTTAAAATTTGGAGATTGTGTTGTCTAGAAAGGAGAAAGCTGAGGGCAAATACAGTAACAAAAACACGTGATGTGATGTAAATGAACCTATGTCATGGCAGTAAACTGGTGCGGTATGTTAATTATTGCTGCATCTTATCTGTTGGAGTTACCAATTTGTGGTCTGCACTAGCTTCTGCTGTGATTTCATAGATAGTTTTCTAATTACAAAATTAATTTCAAGTAAATAACCATGAGACATGTTTTAAAATGTTATTTAGCAAAATCATTATCATGCTCATCATTTAGCAATGTTATTAGCAAAATGTAAGTTCTATCTGCAGACTGTGGAAAAACAGGCTCTGTACTATTCTGAGTGTCATGTAACAGACTCTCAGGCCTCAAACTGTTGTTACGTGGGTGAGACACTGCTGTAGCCCTCGTCCATACCTGGCTTGGGTCTTACAAACATTTCTACAAAACAAGGAAGAATTTATGAAAGCATTACTCATCACAGGCAGGGTGGCTCCTCTCCAGGTTTATCCCTGAGGTTGTAGTAACAAAGCAGTATTTACCAGATAGGTGTTTTGTCCTTGAGTTTGATTTTTGTTTTTGAAAACCCTCTTAGGAAAGCAGCTTCAGGGACATGGCTGTTCCTCACTGTCCTTCATATCCATCAATAAAAATATCTAAGGAGACAGAAACCGGTTTAGAAAATTTTTGGGTCGTAGTTTTGCGTGTGCTCTGTGTTGAAGCTGTCACTGCTCAAAATCAGTAATTTACACTTTTCTTCTCTCTGGGGAGATTGGGCAGTGTTGTCATGGATTTCATACTAGGAGGTTCAAGTTCAAGAATGAGCTGCAAGGTGTGCGGTATGATTTCCTCTCTGCTGACACTTCATCAGAGTTATGCCAGATCTGCTAAAGAGCAGGTTCTGGATATTGTGAATATTGACAGTAAACTAAGTGCAAAAATGATACATTTTAATTACTTGTAATTAATACAGACAGATAATCTTCCTAACGGTAAATGTTAAATTAAATTCACCAAGTGGGTGGTGTCAGTTCCCCGTGAAAGCTTAGTGTTGTGGAATGCAAAAAAAGATACTGAAATACATATTTTTCTAGGTTTGTTCTCCTAAATATTTACAGTTGTGACCTGGAAACAAAGCTTGTAGTTTTTGTTTGATGTTCATTGTGGAGATCTCTTTGAATTCCCTGTGAAACTATTGGTGGGCACCCAAGTTATATTCCGTCTTCCTGGAGGAATGGAATTTTGTTTATTGACCTGTTGGGGACACTGATCCCCCCCCACTTTTTTTTTTTCAGCACGTTAACAGAGGTATCTTTGTAAAGGTTGAGATCAGAGTTATCGGTTTGGTGGTGCTGTACTGCAAGTGTATCAAAAGGTTAATACATCCGTATCCTTTTGGGATGTTCTTTGAACTGTCATCGGGAAAACTCATGACTGATGGCTTGACCATAAGAACAAATTTCAGTTCTTTAAAAGCTGCCATTGGTCAGCTTCTCTGTGGTAACTCTGTGCATGCCCGTGTTTCAGCAACAGAGCAATTTGAATTACCTTCACCAGCAGTGAAAGGTGCCTTGATTCCCTGATGGGATAGTCAGCCTGTGTTAGGAGTGTCTGCTCCTACCCTGGGACAGCTGTCCCAAAGGTGATTTGTTCTGGTTTTCCAGTCCTTACAGGAATAACTGATGGCCTGGCCAACCTGACCACTTCAAAAGTGTGATGATGTGTAGGAGTGGAAACTGCTGCACCTGGCTCTCGCACCTGTAACTTTTATGATAAGGAGTGACCCCCAGAGGGCTGGTTATCTGAGCTGGCTGACTCAGTATTACCAAGCTGGCAGCAGGAAGGAGCTGGATTTTAATAAATCATGGTTGGCTGATATCCCTCCATTTTTGGCCTACTAGTATATTAAAAAAAAAATCCTCTTTTATGTGCCATACTTGCCAGCTGTAACTTGTCCTAGCAGTTCCTGTGCAGCTTGTGTCTGTGTTTGTTTTATTCATGCTTTTGTATCTTTGTGATCTGAGAAGTAATTTTGTGGTGGAAAGAAGCAGAGGGGACTATAGGAATTATACATGGAATTATGTGAGGTGTATCTCTTCAAATATGCTACATTTTTAATAAATATATTTAATTGCCATCAGAGATAGTATTTAATGGTAAATCCACCTCTAATGCTAAAGTTCATCCTTAACTGTGTGGGGAGATTGAAAGTTCAATTTGAAATTGTAGATACTCTTGAGTAGATTAAGAGGAAACACTTGATTAGGTTTAAGAAAGATAATGTCAGAGATTTTGTTGGAAGGAGAAAATAATCAGTTTTTTTTCTTCCTTCACTAAGCCTCACTCTTACAAGATGGAGGTGTTGCATTAGGAGAGGGCTTTGATGTCTATCTTAATGCACAAAACTAGGTCTTTCTACAAATCTCCCTGACTCTTTTGAGGAGATACAGGGGAACAATCACATTTATGTAGAATTGTGCATAGCTGAGTTTATGAAGACTTGTTATGGGGTAGCTGGAACGCTCCTCACTCACCAATTACTTGAGCTTAGACTTTGTCCTAGATTTATGAAGGAATGTTTTTGTTCACTATTTTAACTTTTAATCAACAGCAGTTGTCTTGGAGGGATTCAGGAGTGATGCAGTGTTACAGCAGAGTGGCCCTGCAGTCCTTGTTCTGCAGAGAAGACTGGAGACTCATCTTCAGGTAACTTTTATGTGGAGGAAAATATTTCTTACTCTATAAATTTATGGATAAATTTAAAGGAAAAAAAAGCTGTTGCATCTCAGATGCTCCTCTGATTGTGGAAGGTCTTGGTGGGGTTTACACTATAGTATGAGGTGTGAGGAAATCTGTGGAACTTCTTTGCTATCAAAGAAACATCTCTGACTTGAGATGGTACAAATTAATAAATAAGTCACTAGCAACATCTGTATAATACACAACAAGCTAGTAGGCAGGCGTATATAGCATTTAATGTACAGAGTAAAGACAAAGACCATGATGGCCATTTGTAGAACATGGTTTAATATATTCAGGTTTTATTGAAAACCAGGGTTTAGCTTGTGGAAAAAATTCACTGAGCATAATCTCAAGCTTCATCAGTCTTTGTCTTGGTGTTTATATCATCATACTAACATGAACACAGTTTGGGAGGGAGGGCTATGTGTTTATATTTCTTGGTCTTTGTAAAACAATCAAAAAACCCAGATTGCCGGTTGGCACGAAAACAAGTGCTTTTTCTCTGATACAGTCTACATTCTGTAATGCACATAGTCAAAAAGTGCTCTACTTGTTTTGCATTATTTGTGTTCGGAGTGTGATATCCGAAGGCATGTTTTGTGGCATGTATAGCCTACAAACTTTTAGAATGGTTAAAGTTCATAAAGAAAAGTATTTTATGAAATTTACAGGGCATATTAGTAAATTTTTTTTATCACTTTTGTGCGTACTATGTACTACTTTATGGGTTTTGCAGTATTTGGCCGAGTTCTGAGGTCATCAGCGTAGAGCAGACTTTAATAAGGAAGGGGTGGGTGGTTTAGTGTGGGGACTGCCTCTGCAAGAGGAAGTATAGCAGTAAATATTTAAATGAAGCAGCTTCATCATGACAAGAAGCTTGTGCATATCGAACAACTCATAGCTTATTCTCCTGAAGAAATACGTAGGGAAGTTACAGCACACAAGCTAAGCAGAATACAAAATGCAAATATGAAATCCCACAATCCAGCACATCTTAACCTTGAAAAAATTTGGAAAGTCATGAATGACACTGGCTGCAATCTTTTCTACATCAGAAAGAATCTTCTAATCCTTTCTTTGCCTTATTATAGTTCTGAAATATCCATTAATTTCTCCCAGAATAGCCTTATTTTGTGTTTAGTTGGTTTTTCTTTTTTATCATTAGAGAATTACAGGTAGCTCCTTTTCAGAAAATTGTGATATAAACACTTATTTCCTTTCTTGTTAAATTCAAGACTAGTACTGTAAAGTATAAAAAAGAATTGCAGTATTTTGTAGCCGATAAAGAGTGTCCTTGTAAACTTACTTGGGGATTATTTGTGTGTGTGACAAGGTAACCCAATTAGGAGCGGGAGTCTGTACTGCAAGGTGAAATGCATCCAGTAATCTGCAATGGTATTTTAATAGCTTTTTACTTCACTTGGAGAAGCTTTAAAGGTTCATTCACAGAAGAGAACAAAATGTTGCATTTGACTCACAAATGAAGTTAAACTATCTGGGGAGTATTCAGAAGCCTGCCTGGTCGCACAGGCGCAGCTGAGAGCTGCATCTCTGTGGCCTGACCTGAGCAGCCCCATGGAACCAGGCCACAAGTCTGCTCCTGGGCAGGGGTCTGAGAGGAACGTGCAGGAACATGCACCTCTCTGGAATGCCTTGTTTAGTCTGTATTTTGAGTTGCCCTTCTTCCCCTCCCTGAAAAAATCTCACTTGGAGTGAGGAAGAAACTCTAGGTTTTTCCTTCTTCCTTTTTCACCCTGGCACTGGGAGTCAGAATACGATTAGAGCCCCCTCTCTCCCTTGCTCTTGCTTCTATACATTACTTCAGTGTTGCGGCTTGTTCCCCCATCCACCAGCAAATGGTGGTGTGGACTAATCCTAGATTATCCTTTAAGAATTTTGCTAGAGAGCTGACTCTCTGTGGTTGACAAAAATACGTATTAGAACCTTACTATATTTTCCCAAGTCTTACCACAGCATCTTGAGTTTTGATCAGTTTTTCTTTTTGATGGGGATGGGTTTAAACTAGTGCTTGTTCAGTGATCTCTCTAGCACCCCTGTGCAGTCAGTCACACATGGTCAATGCATGCTTTACGTAATTTTAAAGTCCCCTTCTGTGCTAACTTGAGACTCTTTAAATAAGGTGTTTTGCTCTTGTGAAAAAGAACAGGGAATGTCCAGAATTACTTAAGATGTCTCTGCAGTTGCTAGTACACTGTCAGAGCTGCTTAGGTTTGTGCAGTTAACACATGCCTACTCTCTGGGTAAAAGCACTCCCTTCCAAACTGTTGATGCCTTCTAAAAAGCTTGTGTTTTTAACACTGGGCTGAGCCAAAGAAAAAGTCATTTTCCAATGACCTAGTTAATAGATGAGGTGTGGGGTGGTGCACCCCAGCTGTACATCATGAAAATACAGTGACAGATTACAAAATACGGACTGTATGGCTTGTGAACTATATAAAAAGGTCATTAACTGCAAATGTCTTATTTTTTATGAAGCCACTTCATTTAAAATATATTGAAGACTATCACAGGTATATTTTACCTGTGTGTTATGTCAGATAGTGACACTTGTGCATACATTAGGATTTTATTTTCTTCTTTAATGACAAAAGTACTGAAAAGTCTGGGTTCTTATCCCACCATTTCTCGAGAAAAGAATAAAAAAGAGGAAAGGAATTAATATAGTAGTACTGCTTTAAAAAAAAAAATCCAAACCTAAGGAAATCTCTGTTCTTGCAGATTTTGGCTCTGATTTTGAAGACAAACCATCATTCTTTTGGAGTTTGTCGAAGTAGAGATTTCATTCTTATTCCTTTTTGTGAGGAACTTACTTAGAGCATATAAAAGTCAGAATTTTTGTTGAATATTATGAATGGTATTTTTCACTTGTAAGTACTAAGCATGGACAAATGAACACACAGTTTTCCTTTTTTATTTGAGACACTTAGCAAAAATGCTGAAATATCAAACATTTCCTCAGTAGCTACAATATTGCCACTATGTACAAAATATTTGATAAATGTAGTACACATATAAAAATACAGTATGCATTACATATATACAGTACAATGTGCAAAACATATGGCATTCAAACGTATGGAATTGATTTTAGGGGTGCAAACAGCAAATACAAAGGCATCATGGTTTCTTATAGAAAGGCAATACATAAACTGACGCCCTGATTGCCATAATTTGCATTTAGTAAAGTAGTGCTTAAATGAAGAGGGCCCTAGAGACAGGTGTCTATCTTCTTCTTTTCACAAAATGAGATGCTAAGACATAATTATGACTGTGAAAATAAGAAGAGAAACACCTACTAGGGTTAGCGTTATTTCTACTGCAAGCAGTACTGTGAAAAAAAATCCTATCTGGAAAAAAGCCTGTGCTATTACTTAATACAAATTTCTCAAACAACAAAAACAAATATGTACTGTTAAACATCAAAAACAGCTTTGAAAATATCTACATCCTTAATTTTAAAAAAGTATGGATAATACTTTTCGGGATTTCATTTCCTATGCTTCAAAATACAAAGTGCCTCCTTTGGCAATATAAATGGCAATGCTTTGGTTCCTATTTAAATTTTTATATTATTATAATTTATTTTAGGCTGTCTTTTTACTATCTGAGCTGTACTTTTTTTTTATAAAAATAGTGTGATTATATAGTTATTAACCATTCCCTGCTTTTTATTGAGAATTTGCTCTCATAGCTAGAATGGCTTTTTTGGCTAGATTTCTACAAATACATTTATGCACTTTTAACTTAAAAAGTCTTTATACTCTGTATTGGACACTACAGAATGATGTAGGTGTCTCTTTTTTGCACTTTATTCCTAGCAAACTGGTATAAAAGGAGTATTGGAGATTACTTCAGGTTTTAACATGCTCTTTATTGGCCACGTATATACTATACTCAACTCCATTCCACATATCTCACATAAAAAACCATCTGAAGTATGGTCTAGAAGTCATCAAAAGGCAATTTAATAGACCACAATATAAAGAGTTTCAACAGAACACTTTGTAGAGATAAGTGGAAGAAATTTTCCAGTTTTAGTAAAATTTGTTTTAAGTTTATAATATACTGAAGATGCCATCCAAATAATAGTTGTTTACACTGGCGAACTTTACTGTGTTTTGATTACATAATGCCCTTCCAGTTAAATGTATTCTGTGATTGCATTTTCTCAGCCTTGAAAACAGTTCAGCAGCTTGTGCTTGGTTTCCAATTATGGTGCCTACACTTTTCAGGCATCTGAATGTTTGAGACTATGTAACGTAAAATTTTAATATTGAAACTTATATTTTGATCACCTGCTTGCTTGAACGTAACTCCCGTTGGTGAATTCAAAAGTGCCTTGGAAAGAAATTTCAGTATTAAGTAGAGATTATTTCTAAAAGCTGTGGCCTCAGCTTTTTAAAGGTCTGATTCTGCAAACCCACATTGGTGGATTAGACTCTGATTTCTATAGAGAACAACTGCCATAAATTAATTTTATTCTCAAAGAGAACTGTAAAATTTATGACAATGATTTCTTAACTATTTATGATGTTAAAGTTTTGCCTGTAAACTTACTTGCCTTAACTAATGCTGAATGGCACTAAAAGTGCGTAACAAATACCATTTCTGTATTAAACACAAGATGTGACTCCTCTGGATTAACACTAGTCTTGTAAAACATGTCTGAGCTCTCTCCATGTCTAGAAGCGTAAACACTAACTTTTAATTTTTCACACTGATAAAATGGTATTCTTTGAAGGATCTGCAAACACCACATTTGATAGGATGTGTTCTGTTAGTATACTGCAGCTATTAAATGGCAAATTTAGTGCCAGTGCATTCCTTTGCAACTATTCTCTTAATGAGAAATATTCAGCTCTGTACAGTCAAACTGCACAGTCATGATTAAACTTCTAAGATGTAATGTATCTGTGTTACAAATATTGTCATGTAAAACATGC